TCTTGGGCTTAGCAGGATACTAAGAAGATTTGTGAAAGGCTTTTTCATTAACGCCTCTCATTTGACTAAGCTGTTGCAGAAGGAAGTAAAGTTTATTTGGGATGACAAATGTCAAGAGAGCTTTGAAACTCTCAAATCCTTGTTGACTCAAGCGCCTATACTTACTCTACCAATTGAAGGGAAAAAGTATGTAGAATACAGTGATGCTTCTCACAATGGTCTCGGATGCATTTTGATGCAACAAGGGAAGGTAATTTCTTATGCCTCTCGGAAATTAAAACCGCCTGAATTAAATTATCCTACTCATGATCTTGAACTTGCTGCTATAGTGTTTGCTTTAAAAATATGCCGGCATTATATATATGGAGAGGAATGTCATATCTTCACTGATCACAAGAGCTTAAAGTACTTGGGTACTCAAAAGGAGCTAAACCTTCGACAATGTAGATGTCTTGAACTCATCAAGGATTATGACTGCATGATTGATTATCATCCAGGTAAAGCCAATGTGGTTGCAGATGCCTTAAGTCGGAAATACTTCGCAAGCATTTCTTTGAGTCCTTTACCCTTGCTTCTTGAGTTAGAGCCATAAATGTTTGTTTTACACTTGACTCAAATGGTTCAGCTATTGCTAATTTACAAGTAAAGCCAATATTACTTGAACAGGTGAAAGAAGCACAAATGTTAGATGAGAAACTTGTAAAATTGACTAGAGAAGTTCAAAGTGGGGAAAAACTTGATTTTACATTTACGGAGGATGGTGGCTTATTTTATCAAAACATGTTATGTGTCCCTAATGATGACAAAATGAGGAGAGAAATATTGAATGAAGCACATATTTCACCATATGCAATGCATCCTAGAGGTACAAAGATGTACCGGATTATCAAGAAAAATTATTGGTGGAATGGTATGAAGAGAGACATTGCGGAGTTCGTCTCAAAATGTTTGGTTTGTCAACAAGTAAAGGCAGAACATCAAGTCCCAGTGGGTTTACTACAACCCTTGTCGATGCGGGAATGAAAATGGGAGTGAATGACTATGGACTTTGTGTCTGGACTTCCTCGCACTCAGAGAAATCATGATGCAATATGGGTGATTGTGGACAGGTTAACCAAGAGTGCTCACTTCTTAGCAATCGGGATGGATTACTCACTTGAGTGTTTAGACGAGTTGTATATTAATGAGATTGTAAGACTACATGGGATCCTTGTGTCTATTGTATCAGACCGGGACCCAAGGTTTACATCTTGATTTTTGGGGTAGCTTGCAGGAAGCTTTGGGTACTAAGTTGAGGTTTAGCACTTCGTTCCATCCTCAAATAGACGGCCAGTCGGAAAGAGTGATACAAATTTTGGAGGATATGCTTCGATCTTGCATTATGGAGTTTGAGGGTAGTTGGGACAAATACTTAGCTTTGATAGAATTTTCTTACAATAACAGTTACCAATCGAGTATTTGAATGCCTACCTATGAAGCCTTGGACCCCTCTTTGTTGGAGTGAAGTTGGTGAAAGAAAGCTTGTTGGTCCTGAAATTGTGCAACAAACAGAGGACAAGGTAAAAATTATCAAAGATGGTCTAAGCATTTCTTCGGATAGACAAAAGTCGTACGCTGATCTTAAAAGGCGTGACATTGAATATCAAGTTGGAGATAAAGTATTCTTAAAGGTTTTTCCATGGAAAAAGATTATGAGATTTGGTCAAAAAGAAAAACATAGTCCCTGATTTATCGGACCTTATGAGATACTTGAAAGGGTTGGACCAGTTGCATATAAATTGGCTTTGCCACCTGAGTTAGACAAGATCCACAATGTATTCCACGTTTCTATGCTTAGAAGATATCGTTCTGATCCACCTTATGTTCTTCCAGTTGAATCTATTGAGGTTAATCCTGACTTGACGTATAATGAAGAACCTACCCTAGTTCAAGCTCGAGAAATAAAACAACTTAGGAACAAGAGATCCCTTTAGTAAAGGTACTTTGGAGGAATCATTCTGGAAAAGAAGCTACATGGGAAAGAGAAGAAGACATGAGAACCCAATATCCGCGCTTGTTTCGGGACTAGTTTAAGGTAAATTTCAGGACGAAATTTCTTTAAGGAGAAGAGAGTTTTAACACCCCTAAATGCTTAAACAAATAGTCGCATGTCGTTACATCATCTCGTAATTACTAGAATATGTTTTATTCTCATTTTTTGAACTCGAAATGTTGTGATTTGCAAACTTGCTTGGCATAAATTGTTGTCGTAAATTAAGGTATTGTATGGAGGTATTTGCGTAATTATCTAATCAAACATACTTATACATTGGAAGTGTGGGTATAAAGTACATAAATATAGTTATATATGTATGCTTTTTGGGCAGCCATCTATTTGTTTGGGCAGCCCCTTTTGGTGGCATCTGACCATGTGACAAGGATAACTTTTGTAGCTATATATTTTTACACCTCCTTTGATTGAATTTGTTTTCCCTCAAGTCTAAGAACATTATAACATTATCTAAACAGTTGTTCTTCAAAATCAAGAGAAAAACTAAGTCCTTTTGGCTGGAATCCGACATACACACACTTCCTTTTGGTAAGTGATGAAATCTACCTTTGAGCTGGGTAGTGTTTGGTATTTTATGCATATCTCATTCAAAGGAACTTAGTTTACAGTGAATAAATATGTTTTGGAAACCTAATTCGTTGAAATACAACTCTTGTGTTTATGTAAAATTCTAATTTAACTGTTATGGATACGAAATAAGGGATGCAATATATGACAAGTTCTGTCCAGATTCTGGAATTAGATATCCTATACGTTCAACTGTTAGTGTTTTGATTATCTCTCTTTCCACAAAGCGAATTTTGCGGTGATTCTTGATTATTTGCAAGCTTAAGAGATGTAGCTACATATTTTATGAAGGATATAAATTCCATTTTGGCCGTATTCTGTTTCAAATCTAAGTTGCGACATGTAGTGCATTGATTGGGCAGAATATCTGTTTTGGGAGTATAGTCGTATTTGTACAGGCTAGGCTTACTTGTGATGATAACCCTGTGTTAATCCATCATTATTGAGCTACTAGAAAGTAAATAAGTTATTGAATTCATTTTTTAAGGTTGTATATCCTCGTGTACGAGTTTAAGATTTTGATACGCTGGTTGGTCTACGATTTGAACTCGTTAAGTCGTGTTGGACTGTTTTTGTGCTAAAGAAAGAAGTTTGTGTATAAACTTATACTTGTACTCTTTTTACCTGCTGGTATATATGAAAGTTTACTTCGGTACCTTGGCTACCTCTCCTCACTTTGCATTGTCGTGTTGGTATCCTTTAAGACGTTAAAGACGCTTGTGTAACTCGCCCAGTTGTACGGATTGTTTGATCACTTGGCACTCTTGTTGGGACCTTTTCCTTCTTGTGGCTGTGACTTTGTCACTCTTCGCATGCCTCTTGATTCGGATCATTTACCATCTTGACTCTGGATTTTTAGTCCATTTTAAGAATGGAAGTTGTCCATTTTAAGTACGAACTAGAAAACCATTTTTAATATGGTTCTTGGTTCTCTTTATTTTTGGGTTTTGACCCTTCTTGATACCTGCTTGTGCTTGGTGTGACAACATGATGTATATATTGGGCGAGCCTTGTTATTGAATATCTTGGAAAACGGTGCTATGAGCGTTCTTGACATTTGGATCTTTCATTATCGAACTTGATACTCTTTATATATTGTTTACTTGATTTATTTATTATGTTCAATTATGCTGTCCTTTACTTGAGAATGAAAACTTGGCGAATTTGAGGGCTCCGAACCTATAGTTTTTACACCACTAAGCTATATGCTTAGCGATAGTTGTTTCTATCGTAGGGAATGTTCGAGAGGATGCTTGAGGCTGGCCATTGAACATGGAGATTTTGAAAGCTTTAAGGAAGATCACATTTGCATATAGGCATATATATTTTGTATAAACCTTTCAACTTGTACATGATCTATGTTTTGTATATTTACATGAGAATTTGAGGGCTGATTTGGTCATGTCACCATCGACTGTAATATAAGTATCACTATACGTTTTTATCTTTTCGGGGTGTGTAAACTCAAGTCTTGTAATATACTAAATTTACTATTTGTTTCGAATGTTTGTGTGAAGCATGAGTAGGCTGATTTTGGTACTTGGAAGCTTGTAATATTCTTGTTACTTCATCCTTGAGTGTGAGGATAATATATATACATGAAAAGCTCGTCGGTTATTTGCTTAAATTACTTTTCGAAGTTCATTTTGAATCTAATCCCTCTACTATATTATAATCAGTATTCCCTCGTTAATCGCTTTTGAATGTCGCAAGTATAAGTTAGGTCTCTTTAAAAGGGGTCGCTACATTTATAGATTCAGAAAATAGTGTTATGGCGGATCGTTCGGTGAGATTAGTCGCGATCTCCAAATGACTCGGCGATTCACCCTTCTTCTGGTTCATCGCATTTTGTGCTTTGCCTTCAGCATCTCTGCATTCTGGACCATTGGGCGGTATATTTCTACTTCGCGGAACCATTCAGTGACACTCCGACTTCTCCTTTCATCGCCTTTTGATCCAATTCCTTCAGGGCTTCGCGTACTGGAACAAAGGGTGGAGTGTGTCCCTTTGGCGATTCGCCAAGTATGCTTGGTGATGCTCAGGCTTCAGTTTCTTCGTTCGTTTCAGCCTCTTAGTTCCGTTTTGTGCCTAAGTGTCCATGCTTCCACTAAAATTTCAAATACCTGAAACTTAAGTGTTTTCATCAGATATTGAGATAATATAAGCATTTGAGGACACTATTTCTATTAAAATAATGCCCTAAATGAGTCCAATTTGTGGACTCATCAACACCCCAACTTAAAATTTTGCTTGTCCCCAACTAAAACTCAAGTTCAGCAGTTCAAATAGGATGTCTAAAATTGTGCTACACAAGACTCAATCATGAATGTACACAACATGTTCCAATAGGATGACGATACTTTATCGTAATTTTGTTGATGGCTCAACAATCAACACACGTGCACCATGTTCCATATTTCTTTGGAACCAATAAAACTGGCACGACACATGGACTTATGCTCTCCTTCACATAACCTTTGTTGAGGAGCTCCTCAACTTGACTTTGTAGCTCCTTGGTATCTTCCAGATTGCTTCGATAAGCCGTCTTGTTTGGCAATTGTGATCCCGGCACGAAATCAATTTGGTTCTCAATTATCCTAAGAGGGGGCAATCCACTTGGAAGCTTCTTAGGGAAGACATCCTCATAGTCGTGCAAAATAAAGGAAATAGAATTGGGAAGAGAAGAATGAGATTGGTTAGTTTGTAGCACATGATCCCTATGTGTGATAAGGATCAAAGAACTTTCAGACTCAATTTCCTCCCTTATCTCCTTGTAACTAGCCAACAATATTTGGGCCTTTCCTTTTTCAACTTCCTTCTCTCCTCCTCTTCTTGGCTCTCGGCCTCCACATGTTCCTCTTCACACTTCTTCTTCTCCTTCGACTCACTCATCGTTTGATATACATCATTGACTTGAGAAAGGGACATATGATGAAGAACATACTTATGATCATTCAACACAAGTGAATACTTGTTGGTTCTCCCATCATGTTTGGTTGAGCGATCATGTTGCCAAGGCCTACCGAGTAGCACATGACAATCTTGTATTGGGACTACATCACATAGAACCTCATCTTGATACATCCCAATTTTGAACTTGATCATCACTTGTTGATGCACCCTCAATTCTCCACACTCACTCAACCATTGAAGTTTGTAAGGCGTAGAATGTTTAGTGGTAGGAAGTTTCAAGAATTCCACTAACGCCATACTAGCAACATTTGCACAACTCCCACTATCAATGATTAAAGAACGCACACTATCCTTGATGAAGCATTTGAAGTGAAATAGATTCTCTCTTTGGCTAGGATCATCCAAAGCTTTACTATTCATGGCTCGCCTCACCACATATAGAGGAACGACACTCTATCCTTCTTTGACACAAAGGTCTTGTTCCTTGTCTTCCCCATCTTCAAACTAATCCTATTCTTGAGGATCTTCATCACAATCACCTGCTGGCTCTTCCTCAACACTAAGATATATCTCCCCCCCCTTGCATTCTCGCATTCAATCGATTGGGACATTCTCGCATTATATGACCCCATATCATGCATTTATGACATTGAATACCTTTAGTAAACTTGGTTGGGTCAGCAATACCTTTGTCTCTTGACGGGTACTTTGGAGTGTTTCCTTCGAAGGGCTTCTTCTCATAAGGTTTCTTGACATCCGAACTCTTATTCAAACCCGATGATGTTTGAGCTCCCCCTTTGTTCTTGCTCCAAGAATTGGAAGATGAAGTCTTATACTTAGAAACTTTCTCCTCCTTGAACTCCATCTCTATCTCATGGGATTCCTCAAAGACGTCATTCAAAGTAACAAACCTACGAATCATCATCTTAGAAGAAATCTTTTTGTTCAATCCTACCTTAAAGCGAATCATGGCATGCTCTTCAATCTCTCGATATTCTAGCTTCATGACTATGTTTTGGAACTCATCATGATAGGCTTCAACACTTCTACTTCCTTGCCTCAAGTTGTACAATTTGGCATGTAACCCTTGGTGGTATCTTTCTAACACATACTTTGCTCTCATCAATCTTTTCAATTCGGGCCATAGTGGAGGATGTCCTTCTTGTACAACTAAGTGATACCTTTTCATGTACTCCCTCCATGTGACAACATACCCTTCGAATTAAGCGATAGCATAGCAACTACTTTTGTCCTCCGCCAAATCATCAACATTGAAAATCCGGTCACATTGCGACTCCCATTCTAAGTAAGCATCGTGATTGAATTCCCCTTTGAATGTTGGAAGAGTCGTTTTGATAGAGTTGATGCCAACATCATGGCCTCCATGGCTACCTTGGTCGTTGTGGTAGTAACCCCTTTGATGACATCCTTGATAACGGTTACCATGTCCTTCTCTAGCTTCTTGACCAACTTCATGATTGACATTGACTTCCCATTGATCTCCACCTTGAGGGTGGTTTCCATGTTGTCTCCTATCAAATGGCATTGGACCCAATCTAACTCTTGGTCCACCTTGCAAGACTTGACCACTTGTTCGATTTCTTGGTGACTCATTCCATGGTGCTTCTTCACCTTCATAACCTCCTTGATCTTGATCATTCCTCACCTCATTCACGGGATTTGGTTGTGGTTGTGGTCTTTGGTAGGGAATATTTTGGTTAGGTGGTGTTTGGTAAGGATGGCTTTGACTTTGTGGAGCTTCTTGACTAAGAGGAAAATGGAATAGTCGATTGGAAATTTGGCTCTTTGAACCCAATTGATTGAAAGTTAGGTGCAAAGCTTGATAGAGGGTTCCGGGTATGAGAGTAGGAGAATGAGTGTGATCATGCTCACTTGTAGAAGAACAAAAAGTAGCTTGTGATGTGGAGTCATTGGAGTTGACTCTACCTTCCACAATGGCCAACCTACCATGGATCCTTGATATATCACCTCTCACATTGTTCAATACCTCCAATAAGGTTGCCAAAGTAATTTCTCCGATAGGTGCTTGAGCTTCTCCTCCTGTCTCCATTGTACCTGACATTAAAAATAACCTATAAAACAGCACACAATGGTAGCGTTAATAAATTGAACTCATAATCGCTAGTGTTTACACACCTTTGATTGCCTCTCAAATTGGCACGGCTAATGTTGACAGTTATTCGTACTCAGTTGGTTACTAGGTATCAATTTCTGCTCTTAGTTAGAATATATTCTTATTTTAAGAAGAACGAACGACTCAAATGAAAACAAACGGACTTGAATCAAGAATTAACTACGAAGTAAAATGAGAAAAACACAAAAAGAAAAAGGCACAAACAAAGAAGTGAATTCAATAACCAATAGTCAACAAGTAGAGTATTTACGAGTTGAATATCGATTTAGGATTCTTGAGAATCAAAAGAAAAGAAACTAAGAATTTAAAACTTGAGATTAGGAGTAACTTGAGTTTCCGATCGCCGAATGACCTGTTTTCTTCGCTAAAAGTGAAGTCCAGCTAGCCAACTTGAAGAAAGACTTGCCAAACTCTACGAATGGAAAAGGCAACTCGGTGATATGGGTGGTAGTTCGACGATGCGCCAAATGTACTCGGGGTCCAAAGCTGATCTCGCTGAAAATTCCAATAGCTCCATCAATTTGGCAGCCAATTCGGCGACCAACCTGCCCAACGGGCAAGGCGCCGAATGGTTAGGCGATGCCCGCTTTAGTTCGCCTAATGGACCTTTGCAGCTCCTTCAAAATTTTGAAATTTGAACTCCTATGGTCCCCCCTGTTCTTGTCCTTTAGTACCTACCCCTTTTAGTAAATTCCCTTTCTCTTTCTTCCCTTTTTGAATCAAACTCTTGCTTTTTCAAATATTCCCTTCCTTGAAGATATGAATGTTCTTCAAGAACTTCAAGAACAAGATGAACCCAAAATTTAACGCTTAAAATTTTTATCTCGGAATTTCACGAAAATTTAGGTGAAGGGCTCTCCTTGATATGGAGAACAACACCCAATACTTTTTAACCTTCAATCCCAAACCAAAACCTTAAGATTTCAAAACCCATTTTCATCTTCTTCAAGCTTCTTCAAGTCTTCAATAGTGAAATCTTCAACAAGGCACTAAACTCCTTCCAATCTCAGCCTAAGACTCCAATAGAGTCGGAGAACACTATTCCAACCTTAGAAACTCAAACAAGACTCAAATTAACAAGACCCATTTCAGCAAAATTCACAAAAAAAATAATAAATGAACAGATTTTTTTTTTGTAACAAAACCCCAAGACCAAATTCGTAGCAACAAAGCTAGACTCGGCTCTAATACCAAATGATGTAATTCCTATAAAGGAATCACACTAAAGTGCGGAGATTAAAGATAGATAGTTAGACACAAATAGAGGAAACAAAAAGCAATAAAAGGGTATATTAAACCCAATGACCTCGATCCGTTAATCCTATAATAAGCACCTAACTCTTATGAAGACCTCAAGGGAATCGATATCCCAAGCAACCAACGTTTCTAACAAAAGGCAACAAAAGCTTAACCAAGCTCTCAACACTCAAACATGAGTTTTCAGTTTTCAACATTCAAAATAATCTAAGTCTAAAATGAACCCAAACTAGCTATTTATAGTTTTAGGATTAAAGGGCCCAAAAGTGACCCGAAGTGCCAAAGGGTGAGCTGGGTCGGGTCGCTGATTGGACTGGGCGATGCGTCCATCTGGTTGGCGAGTATTCCTACATGGTTGATGTTTAACGTAATCAATGACATCTTACAGTTCGGGTGTCTACAATCTTGCAATAGTACAGTAACCCAACCAAGGGTTGGGGTCGTGTCCCAAGGGAGTGGGCGTGGCATTTAGTGGTTAAGGGAAAAAGTGCTAAAGCTAATCATAGCTAAAGACTTTGGCGAATGAAAACATAACAAATTAAAAAGGGTGACGCAAGCGTCAAGTATCAACTAGGGGTTTGTATGCAAGAAACAACTAAAGCAGTGAAAATAAGGAAAAATACAAGTATGGAGACAGGATTCTTCGGATGTGATAGGAATACGGGATAGACTAAATCATTGGGTACATGCTTTTGATAGTAAATTTACTGAGTATTTGTGACTAGGCTAGACTTTAAGGGGGAAAAGCTCTCTCTCGAGCAACTTACCCCGTTTCAAATGCGTTCCTCTCAGACACCCACTTGCTGCATGAAGAACAACCTCTGCCTTAACATACTCATTGTCTCAAGCAGAGTGTATGGACATGGGACTAGGGTTCACTCTCTCGAACTGAACCTCATGTCAACCCACTCACACTGGCCATCAATTTAGTGGTCTTAGTTTTACGACCTCTCTCTTGAGCAAGCCGAAAACACATACATGAGATTATATTTGCAACTACAACCTCATTAAGTTCAACCACAACCACTAAACGAAATCACATTTAAACTATGAATAGACTATCAGTAAGCAAGACCCAACAACTAATCTAACCCATATTCACAAAATCCCACCCCAAGAATTGGGGTTTTAGCTACGCATGTAAAAAAGATAAAGATGTATACCAATATCATTTTCCATCAATGGGTATGCAAGATTAAGTCTTACAACAAGCCAAAGGTGAAGAATCCAAGAGACCAAGTCCAACTCCTTGAATTTGAAACCCTTTGAAAACTCCAAGTTCTTCAAAATCCTCTCCAAAGCATAGAGAGAATATCTCCAAAACTCTATCTCAAACTTAATAATCTAAAAACTAGATAAAACAAGGTAAAATTCTCTCCTAAAAATAAAAACCAAACTAGTATTTATAGTTTTTAGAAAATGTGCTCCAAAGGATCTTTCGGCGATGTTAGTGGGAATTGGTGATGCATTCATCGATCCACCCTTTGATCTAGTTCATCGCCTTTAATCAGTTGCCTTCATCATCTTTGTGTCCTGCGTAATTGGGTGATGTAGCATTGCTTCGCGGAGTCGCTCGGTGATACGCCAACTGCTCATTTTCACCACCGATTTGCTCATTTACTTCAGGGCTCAGCACACTGGAACAAAAGGTGAGTATGCGATCTATTGGTAATTCGCCGAATGGGTTCGGTGATTTACAGATCTTCATTTCTTTGTTCTTTTAGCTTCTTTTGCTTCTTTTTGCTCGATAGTGTCCATGCTTTCCCTCAAACTGTAAATACTTGAAACTTAAAAGTTTTCATCAGATATCAAGATAAAACATGAATTTGAGGACCCTAATTTCATCAAATCATAGCTCTAAATGAGTCCAAATCGTGGACTCATCAACACCCCCAACTTAAGCGTTTGCTTGTCCTCAAGCAAATTCAAGTTTAGCCGTTCAGAAATGGTGTCTCGAACAGTACTACACAAGAGTAGATCATGAATGCGCACAACAAGACTCAATTTA